CATTCAAAAGCACTCATGTGTACTGGACAACAGCCAGGTACATAATGAGGACAGGATACGTGCTCAGAAAATACCTGCGAAAACACTAAGCTTTCGCCACTGGCTGATCTGAAAGCTCAGTGCAAGCCTGGCTAAATGCTGAAGGGCCCCAGCACAGAGCAAATCTGCAAAGCCTGGGAGGGACTGTTTTTTTGGTTTTTTTAGCTCCTTGTATTCAAGGAAATCTCTGTCAAAATACTAGCTGAACACAAGCTCAAAGAACAAAAACTCCAATGACTAGACACAAAAAGGAATACAGTTTTTGTAAAAACAGTTTGGAAAAGTAACTAAACAAATGGACAAGAATAGTGAACTCCGGGCAAGAGACAGAATCTAACTTCCAGAGGTACTACATTATAATGTTTACATATCAAATCTTCAACAACAAGAAAAGCACAAATAATACAAAGAAACAGGAAAGTATGACCCATCTGAGGGGAAAAAAAATTGAGTTAAATTGTCCCAGAGGACACCTAGACATTGAACTTACTACACAAAGACTTTAAACCAATTATCTTGAATATGTTCTAAGAGCTTGAGTAAACCATGGACAAAGAACTAAAGGAAACCAGAAAAACAATGTATGAACAAAATGAGAGCAGCAATAAAGAGACAGAATAAATTAAAAATTCATTACAGGAGCTTAACAAATTTAAGTGGAAAGAAAAAAGAATCAGCATACTTGAAGACAGGACAACTTATACAGTTTGAAGAATAGAAAGAAAACTGAAGAAAAGTAAGCAGAGCCTAAGGGACCTGCGGGATATCATTAAATGGACTAAGATCCATGCTATGGGGTCCCAAAAAGAGAAGAAAAGGGCAGAAAGAATATTTGAAGAAATAATGGCTGAAAAATGTCCCAAATTTGATGAAAGATATGAATCCACACATTCAAGAAGCTCAACAAATTCCAAGCAGGGGAAATTCAAAGAGATTCACACTGAGACACACTATAGTTAAAGTGTGAAAAGTCAAAATCAATAAAAGCAGCAAGAAAGAAGCAACTCATTAATATAAGAGATTCTCAATGAGATTAATAGCTTATTTTTCATCAAAAATCATGAAGGCCAGCAAGGCAGTGAGATGACATATTTAAAGTGGTGAAAGAAAAAAAAAAGCAAGAAATCTGTATCTAGCAAGAATGGAGAAGAAATCAAGACATTTCCAGAAAAACAAAAGTTAAGAGGGGTTGCCACTAGCAGACCTGCTGTACAAGAAATGCTAAAGGGAATCCCTCAGGTTGAAATGAAAGAACATCAGACAGTGACTCAAAGCTGTATGAAGGAATAAAGAACAC